GCTACCTGTTTTTAAACTCTGAACCTGGAATTCCTTAAATAGGGTAGGTGGAGGAGATTATCAAAGCTGAAGCTGGCTTTGCTGAGAAGCTCCCTACCTCCCTGCCCTTCTCTTTCCTCCTGGAATGAACTAATGCAGATGTCAAGCAAGGGCTGGTGGGGGTGCCTACTCCCTTTTCCACTCTGTATCTTTAGATTTCAGACCTTAAGCTCACAGCCCCTCAATATCTCTCCGTTAATACCAGTGTCTCATTCTCTAATTAGGCCTTTAATCCTCTGTTTCTGTTGACTAGCTTCCCGGCAACTTTTCTTTTTAAAAATATTAAAACTTTAATTCAGGTTCTCTTAATTATCCCCACCCTGCTGTTGCCTCTGCCCTTAACTCTATCCCTATTAGGAACCTTATTGTTTCCCACAGAGTAAGAGTTAAGAGGGAGCTCTTCACGTGGTGACATTCCATTTAAGTCTTGGGGCATCTGTCCTGCCCTCTGCCCACCTCCCTGCTGGCCCGGGTGAGAGGAGGAAGAGGGGTCTGGAGAGAAACCCACAAGGTGGCAGAACTAGGAGTTATGTCTCAAGGTGGACTTCTGATCATTGAGGATGGTAAGATAAATAGGTTGAAAACAACCATCTGTGAGTTTAGGAGTCTGAAGATCCTCACAGCACGGGAGCAGGGAGAGGCTCTAGAACAAGGTTTCACAACCAAGATGCCTTTGACATTTTGGGTTGAAGAGTTCTTTGTAAGGGAGACCTGTTTCCTGTTTTGTGCATTACATCATTACAGGGTGTTTAGCAGCATCCCTGGCCCACCGTAGTTATGACAACCAAAAATGTCTCTATACGTTGCCAAATTTCTCCTAGGGGGCAAAATCACCTCCATTTGAGAACCACAGCTCTAAAGTCAAGATGTTTTTCTCTTAAGTGATTTCTGCTTGGCACGCTACCCTCATCATGTTACTCATCTTAAGCCTGAGCCATGGATGAACTAGGACCCCATATAAATTAGGTTCAATAGAGCTGCACATAATCTCCAAACAATTCTCTATTCAGTGTTTTGCTTGTGCTCGCATGTCGCTATGGACAGGTACCAAGCTCCTCCGTTCTCCCACTCTGGAGAAGTGGTTCCTGCAGTGTAGAGACATGAACAGGGTATGGTAGGACTGGGGAAAGGGGAGACAGAAGCAGTAGATACACTCCTTATCCTCGCCAAATTTTAAGCCCTATTTCTGTGCCCTAGTCCTAGACGACACACATTAGACTCAGGGAGTTTTGTCTGAAGACCAGGTCCCACTGCCCCCCAGCTGAAGAGTCGGCTTTAGATGGGAAAACAACGCAGGAGCAGGGGTCTTTAGGCACTTTCAGTATTCTCAGGTGTTCGTTCTGGCCCTTCCAGGGTAATTAGGAAGGCAGAACAAGACAGATGAGCTCCTTCCTGCTCTGAGACAAGAAGGCTGGGGTCTCATTAGCTTTGTGACAGGAAACATCCTGTTTTATGGTAGTGGGTTCAGGAATGTAGGAACTGGTATCCATTCTGCCAATTCCACCACCCATTCAGTGTGCTTCCACCTACAGAACAGTGACTGAGGTTCTATTTTTTTCCCTCAAATTTCCATGTATTTTCTGCCATTTTTCAGGGTCTAAGATTGGTCATACATTCCCAGTTTACTCTCAGTTCTAGTCAAGCTAGTTGCTCTGAAAGTAACCCAACTTGTTGCCCTAAAATAGCTCAGTAGCCTGAGTGTTACACTAGAGATCTAGAGGGTTAACAGGATAGGTAGAAAGACTGGAGACTCCTGGAATCTCTGGATTCATTCAGCCTCATTCTAATACCTCTTCTTTGGACACAGTCTTTTTCCTTTGGTGCTCTCTTGCCTTTAGCTACCTTCTCTAATATGTATGCTACCATCGCTAATAAAGTGATGGGAATGGGTTTGAGAGTCATAATTTATATTAAAAAGTTGTTGGACTTTTAAATACATTTTTCAAATAAAAAATTTAAGCAAAATAGTTGCAGAGTAATCATTGCAGGCGTGTGCTGGATTAAAGGATGGATATGGCTGATGAAGATAATACCTCAAAAGTGGCTGAGATGGAATTTTATACCAACATTGCCCTTTTGAGGAGAGAGGGCTAAGCATTATGAAAGCCAGACCACTGCCATCTTTCAAGGGCTCGGCTCCTTGTTCTTCCTACTCCCTTTTCTTAGCGTTTATTTGAGATTTTTCAAGTCTGTAAAAGAAGTACTTGTTTTAAAACAATGTTGGAAATGAGGAAAATGAGCATTATCAACATTTTATCCTAAGAGACAGGGAGTAGAAACAAGGCAGAGGCTGCTAATTACACAGTTCAGTCTTAGGGATGAAGAGATTTTTGTCTCTCCTCCCTCAGGTACCTCTGTGAAAAAAAAAAAAAAAAAAAAAACCACAAGACCAAACAATGTATTTTCCAGTTTTGTTTTCTGTACTCAAAATATCTAGTGGGTGCTAGGATTGAAAGGGCAAGAGAGGTTGACATGCTGACACCTCCTCTGTGGATGAAGTGGCCATTACCTCTGGTTTCTGTCTATCTGGGTAAGGAAAAAGAGAAAAAGGGAAATTACAACCACATCTATATTCTTTTCCTTGCTTCATCTCCCCCTCCCACAAACCCATCTCAACCTTACTGCCCCCCGCCCCCACTTATTTTTGTATCAGTAGTGGTACTGGCTACACAAGGAGGAAAAAAACAAAATGACCAAGTATATGCTTTGTTTATCGCCTTTCCTTCCCCAAAGTCCTGTCATCTGTAACAAGTCAACCAGAACCTTTGGGAATTCGTGGTAATGCAGAGGACAGTTCTCCCGGATGCTAGTGCTGACGAGGGTCAATAGTTAACTAATACAGCTTCACAGTAACAACAGCCAAAATCTGAGATCTTACTATGTGCGCTTTACCTCAATCAATCTTCACACCCTATGAAGTATTATTCCTGCTTTTCAGATGAAGAAACAGGTTTACAAAGCTAGTAAGTGGCAGAGCCACAAGATTTAAACCAGGTTTGACAAAAAAAAAAAAAAAAAAGCCGGGCGTGGTGGCACATGCCTGTAGTTCAGCTACTCGGGAGGCTAAATTAAAATAAATTCCTTTTTTTCCCTTTTTCCTTTTTTTTCCCCCCTGAGATGGAGTTTCACTCTTGTTGCCAAGGCTGGAGAGCAATGGTGTGATCTCGGCTCACTGCAACCTCCGCCTCCTGGATTCAAGTGATTCTCCTGCCTCAGCCTCCCGAGTAGTTGGAACTACAGTTGTGTGCCACCACACCCAGCTAATTTTTTGTATTTTTAGTAGAGACAGGGTTTCACTATGTTGACCAGGCTGGTCTTGAACTCCTGACCTCAGGTGATCCACCGGCCTCAGTCTCCCAGAGTGCTGGGATCACAGGCGTGAGCTACTGCGCCTGGCCAGTATTTCCAATCTTAACTATTTGGTCAATAATCACGTAATGTGCAGTAAGACATTTTACCTAATGACCAATCAGTAGTTGCTCAATAAATAATAAGTAGAATCAATGACCAACAATAACATGAATAACCAATGCATGTTATGAATCAATAACCGGGTAAGTCAGTAACAGTTCATGTAAGCAAAACTGGCTGGCTTAGCAACCGGGTTTTAGATATCAGGACTTTTCAGATCCATCAGCCAAGATCCTGGCTCATCACTAAACACTTACTGGTTGCATCTCTGTGAACACTGAAGAGAGGCTATTCCAAATATCCTCCAGGCCAATCCTGACCTGTTTCCAAAAAGCCAGGGCTGGGCAGGGGCTGGTGGGTGGCAGGCTGGGACTGCTTCTGAGGTGGATGGTGGGCGGGGAGGTAACGGTGGTCCTGGTAGTGCTCTGAGAGGCACAGTTGGTGTCAGTACAGAGACTTGTGTCCAGGGGGCACTCTTCCCGAAGTCGGTTGCAGGGACATTGCTGGTAGGTGCAGGGCTTGTGCTCCGTGCGGAGTTGGCTCAGAGCCCCAACTCGAAGGCGCCCGGAAAGGCCGTGCAGCTTCCCAGACCGGGTCCGGCTCATGGTGCCCGACTTGCAGTGGCAGTGCCACGGGCCCCAGGGCATGAGCACCAACTGCAGATCCTCAGGAGGGGGCATGGCTGTGGCTGTGGGCGAGGGTGACGGCCACCGGCTCGGGGTGGACCCGGCTGTGGACCACTGGCTCAGGGTGGGCTCCGAGCCTGGCAGGTCCCCAGTAGACCTCCAGGTGGAGCGCGGCAGGCTCGTGGTCAGCCTGATTTCGGGCTCCTGACTATTGGCTACGAATATCGTGCTGGAACTCCCCGCTGTACTGGGAGTCGTACCGGGAAGCGCTCTGCTGGTGTTATCCTTTCCGGCACTAATCACAACCCCCTCTTCCAAAGACCCATCCTCCTCGTTGTTGGAGGACAACCGGTTAAGGCCTGTGAACACTGTGGAGGCCAAGAGCTCGGCAGCCGCCGGGCCAGCCAGGCGGTCGGCGTTGGCCATGGCATCGTTTTCGTCCTCTAGGATTATCCTTGTCTTTCGGGGGAGACCGGTCCGGGCGGTGCTCCGGTAGCGGCGGGTCATGGGGCCCCCCAGGCGTAAGCTCACCTGCTGCCTTGTGGTCGGAGTCTGGGTCAGGCCTTGGGCCCCCGCCGCCCGGGGACCCAGACTCAGCAGCAGGGCCCAGAGCAGCGCGCCGGCGGCGGGGACCATGGGCTGGGCTCTTGGGGTTGGGAGGGAGGCCAGTGAGGCAAGTCCTGCCTGCTACCTTCGCTCCCTCCCTTCCGCTCTCGACCCACCGGGTCGTTTGAACCGAAGCCCGCGGGGAAGGGGGCGGGGTTCGACGCGCAGCGGCGCGCGCCACGCAGGATTGCTCCTGCAGCCGCAGGGACTAAATTAAAAATCCTAAGGAACCTCTGTGGCAAGAACTCAGTGTCAGAACCGAAAGAAGGATTGTGATGCAAGGGGTGGTGAGAGTCGTTCACGTCTTTGGAGCAGAGCTTAAATGTCTCATCGCAGTTTATTAGCCGCTACAGATCTCAATTTACTCAAGAGGGCAAATATACAGGTTTTGAAAGCACTCCTTCCCAGGCTCACAGGCAGCAGACATGACTTAGAAGGAAAAAGGGCATACAGCGGTTCTTCAAGATTTAATGAGCTGGCTCTCCCGGCTCCCAGCAGGCAGGCTGGCTGTCAAGTAAGCCTCTTCCATCCAAGGTGGAAGGATCACAGCCCCTCCAGTTAGAGAGGAAGAAAATGAGGACTCAAAAAGATGAAGGTATTTGCCCAAGGTTCTACAGCAAAAGCAGGATTAAAACCCACAGCTCTGCATATCCCATACAAAATGACCCTACACTCAGCCTTCCACCCCAACAGCTGGAATGAAAGTCACCCAGAAGATCAGCTTCCCAGTCTCAAAGCCCCCCGAAGGCAGGGGTCATGCAAAGGATGAAATCCCACTGAGAAGTGAAGATCCGGTGGTACTGAGGTTGGGGATAAGATGATTTACAAAACAGCTCAGATGTTTCTGGGATTCAAGTGCAGGCAGATCACCATCTTTGCTTGGTTCTAAGGCCCTTTATCCAGTCCTGTGCTAGGTCCCTCCTGAGCCATGGAGATCCCGGTCCAGCCTAGGAAAGGGACAGGGGGAGGAGAGAAGTGGTTCAGGGGCAGGACTTGGGTTTTACATTCTGGCCTGGGGAGACAAGCCAGGTGAATTGGAAGAGCTAGGTGATTGGGATGAGTCATCATTTAGCACTTTTGCTCCCTAGCACCCTCTCCTCCCCTGGGATATCATCCGTTCACTGCCAACGCATCTCCTCCTAATTTCTAGGGCCAGGCTGAATCTCCTCTGCACTGTGATTATTCCTTGTTGCCTCTGCACTTATATATAGGTTTTTTTTCATTTATTCTTGTGGGATGCAGTAGTGTCCTTCATTTCTTCTTTGGGTGTGTGCAGTTTTCCCATATATACTGAAGCACCCAAAAGCAGGGCCTCTATCTTTTCATTCTGTTGCATGTCCCCCAAGGCATTAAAAAAGTAGGGTTGGCTTTACACATCCCACCCCCAAAGCTTTATCCTCAAGTGTGAAACTCACTGTCTGACAGCTTCAGGGATGTGGACTTGATCCAGGGATATGAGTTGGGCCAGCTCCTCCAGGCTGTCCAGAAAACGGATTTTTCGTGTGAATTTGGAACTGAAAAGAGAGAATAAACCAACTGTTTCGTATTGGGAGAAGCGTTCCCAAAAATCCTTGCAAAGAAAAATGTGGAAGTAGAGTGTTATTAAGGCTAGAAAGAATCAAGGTGGAGAAAGATCTTCTTAATCTTGATTTTGAAAATGTGGAGAAGGAGAGGGGAGTCCTTGCTCCTAGCTAGTACCTGATAAAGGGCCGAAGCAGTGCCAGAAATGCCTTCACATACCACGTGGCGTGGACAACCACCAGGGCTCGCAGGTTTTTTCGCAGCCTAAAAAAGAACATGAGATCATCCTATTTCTTCTTCCACCTTTATGTGTGAAGATCATGTGGAACTGTTTTCTGTACTGTAATTTCCTTCACTTCTCTAGTTTCTAGATTTATCTGTTACTTGGGTCTAATCCCCATTTCATTAGCTGTAATCTCAGCTCCACCCATCTTACTTAGCCTTCCATGATCCTCATTTTTAAAAAACTCTCCTTTCAGAATCCCTCAGCCTGGTCTTTTTCTGCTCCATTTCCCTCTTGTGCCCTGCCCTCACGTAAGTTCATTTCGCATGCTTCTCCATCGCTCTATGACCAAGACTACTTATAAAACGCTAGGTGGAAGAAGACCAGCCAGGAGGAAAAAAAGAAGGGAGACAAGAAGAGAAAAGTGAGCAAAGGGAGATGGGGGAAACCAAAAGGGGAAAAAACCTGAGAAGAAAAAGAAGACACAGGGCCGGGCGCAGTGGCTCAGGCTTATAATCCCAGCACTTTGGGAGGCCAAGGCAGGCCATCACCTGAGCTAAGAAGTTTACGACTGGCCTGAGAAACATGGCAAAACCCTGTCTCTAACAGAAAAAGATAGAAAAATTAGCTAGGCGTGGTGGTGGTGCACACCTGTGGTCCAAGCTACTCGGGAGGCTGAGGTGGGAGGATGACTTGAGCCAGGGAGGCAGAGGCTGCAGTGAGCCAAAATCGCACCACTGCACTGCAGCCTGGGCAACAGAGAAGACACGCAGGTCAGTGACGAAGGCAGAGAAGAAGACAATGGAGGTGTGGAACAGGAAATAAATGGCAAGACTGAGAGAGAAGAGGAAGAGTGCTTTCTGTGTGCTAGGCAATGTGCCACACTAGTTTACTCGATTTTCACAAATACCCAGTGGCAAAAGTATAATCATTGCCATTTTACAGATAAAGAAGCTGAAGCGGCCGGGTGCAGTGGCTCATGCCTGTAATCCCAGCACTTTGGGAGGTGGGCTGATCGCTTGAGATCAGGAGTTTGAGACTAGCATGGGAAAAATGGCAAAACTCCATCTCTACAAAAAATACAAAAGTTAGCCAGGCATGGTGGTCCATGCCTGTAGTCCCAGCTACTTGGGAGGCTTGAGGTGGGAGTATCACTTGAGCCTGGGAGGCAGAGGTGGCAATGAGCCGAGATTGTGCTGCTGCACTCCAGTCTGGATGACAGAGCCAGACCCTGTCTCAAAAAAAACCAACAACACACACACACACACACACACACACACACACACACACACCAAAAAAGAAGCTGAAGCCCAGAGAGGTTAAGTGACTTGTCCAAAGCCAAACAGCTAGTAAATGGTAATGTGGGTAATGGCAGGATTTGAAACTAGATCTCTGACTCCAAGAGAGGACAGGAAACAAAGGAGCTGGGAAAGGAACGGAGGATAAAGAAAACAGGAAGGGACTAAATGGAAGAAGAAAGAATGGACAGGTGGGGAAAACAATGAGAGAGCGAGAGTTGTAGCCCTCTCGTCCCAGGTCTCACCGCCGATCCAGGGTGCGGTAACACTGGCGTATCCAGCTCAGAGGTGGAACTTGGGCCCTGCTTGTGCCTCCACTCAAATGAACAAGCAGGTAATTTTCAGCTACTAGCAGCTCCAGTGTTCCCACCATGTACCTGGGCGGATGAAATTGCAGGTAACATATGTGTTGGGGGGTGCAGGAGTGAGAGGGAACATGACTATAGACTCTCCAATTAGCTACTGATCTTTGAAGGGGTTCTTTTTCATTTTTCCCTGGCTAACACTGCCCTGTAGCTCTTCAGGCCTTCCACCTCACCTAAATAAGTGTTCCATGACGTAGGTGTAGTTGGGGATGCTGCTTCTGGGTAGATAACAGGAAGCAAAAAGGATGACAGCATTGAGGCCGTCACCATGGTAACCTGGAGAGTATAAGGGGAAAATTCATTTGGTCAACAAATACGTATTGACAGATGGTACATCTGTTTAAGTTGAGGGACTCTCAGGGTCTCTGGAAGCTACAGGATAGATTTCAGATCAATGACTGAGTCTCCAGCTTAGGCATTTTATTTTATTTTATTTTATTTATTTATTTTTTTGAGACAGAGTTTCGCTCTTGTTCCCCAGGCTGGAGTGCAATGGGGCGATCTCGGCTCACCGCAACCTCCGCCTCCTGGGTTCAGGCAATTCTCCTGCCTCAGCCTCCTGAGTAGCTGGGATTACAGGCATGAGCCACCATGCCCAGCTAATTTTTTGTAGTTTTAGTAGAGACGGGGTTTCACCATGTTGACCAGGATGGTCTCGATCTCTTGACCTCGTGATCCACCCGCCTCGGCCTCCCAAAGTGCTGGGATTATAGGCGTGAGCCACCGCGCCTGGCCAGGCATTTTATTTAAGAAGCCATAGCTCTTACCCCTCCATTTATGCTAGCCATTACCTCCATGAGACAGGACTTTCTTATAGGGCTCAATGACAGTCATGTCCACACGCTGCTCCCGTGGTCCCATTCGGAACACCCTCCAGTGATGTCCATCTTCTCCAGCCACATCCCACATACAGCCTCGGCCCAGCCTTTCAGCTGCCTCGCTGGCGCCCAGACCCTCTGCCCGGGGTAACTCATCTAAAAGAGAGGGTTGGGGAAGGATCAGCAAGGTAGATTTCCTACCTTCAGTTTTTTGTAACTTCCTCAGATTCCGAGTTTGTTACTCTAATCTGTCATTCCTCGATTTTTTCCTTGATTCATTTTTTTTTCCGTTTTTGAGATGGAGTCTCACTCTGTCACCCGGGTTGGAGTGCAGTGGCACGATCACGGTTCACTGCAACCTCTGCCTCCCAGGCTCAAATGATCCTCCCACCTCAGCCTCCTGAGTAGCTGGAACCATAGGCTGTGCTGGTTGGTTAATTTTTGGCTAATTTTTTGTTAGAGACAGAGTTGTACCATGTTGCCCAGGCTAGTGTCATATTCCTGAGCTCAAGCCATCTGTCCACCTCAGCCTCCCAAAGTGCTGGGATTACTGGTGTGAGCCACCACACTCAGCTTTTTCCTTGACTCTTTAGCCCTGTTTTGCCCAATCAACCCAATGTCTTGCTGGTTTCTTCTCCTGTGACTCACTATCCTCACCTTTTCACTAGATGATGGACTTTGGATGACCTTGCACTATGACCCTTAGCTGTATCAGGTATTTTTTGAGAGTCTTTTTTTTTTTTAAGTTATGCCTTTTATTTCTAATAGTCTGGTTATTCTATGTATGTATGTATGTATGTATGTATGTATTGAGACAGCCTGGCTGGGCGTGGTGGCTCACGCCTGTAATCTAAGCACTTTGGAGGCCAAGGCGGGTGGATCACCTGAGGTCGGGAGTTCAAGACCAGCCTGACCAACATGGTGAAACCCCGTCTTTAAAAAAAATAATAATAAAATAAGCCGGGCGCGGTGGCTCAAGCCTGTAATCCCAGCACTGTGGGAGGCCGAGGCGGGTGGATCACGAGGTCAAGAGATCGAGACCATCCTGGTCAACATGGTGAAACCCCGTCTCTACTAAAACTACAAAAAATTAGCTGGGCATGGTGGCGCGTGCCTGTAATCCCAGCGACTCAGGAGGCTGGGGCAGGAGAATTGCCTGAACCCAGGAGGCGGAGGTTGCGGTGAGCCGAGATCGCGCCATTGCACTCCAGCCTGGGTAACAAGAGCGAAACTCCGTCTCAAAAAAAAAAAAATAAATAAAAATAAAAATAAAAAATAAATAAAAAATAAAATAAAATAAAAAAGAGACAGTCTCCCTTTGTTGCCCAGGCTGGAGTGCAATGGTGAGATCTCGGCTCACTGCAACCTCTGCCTCCCAGGTTCAAGCGTCTCTCCTGCCTGAGTCTCCTGAGTAGCTGAGATTACAGGCAGCTGCCACCACATGCAGCTAATTTTTGCATTTCTGGTAGAAATGGAGTTTCACCGTGTTGGCCAGGCTATCTCAAACTCCTGGCCTCAGGTGATCTACCTGCCCTGGCCTCCCAAAGTGCTGGGATTCCAGGCATGAGCCACTGTGCCCAGCCTCTAACCCAGGCTGCTGTCCTAACTCTAGCCATATCCCTAAATGCCCAGAGTGTATGTCTTCACTTGGTGTCTCCTTGTCATTAACAAGTCACCAATCTAAAAGGGAACTCAAGGCTGTGCTCAGTGGCTCATGCCTGTAATCCCAGCTCTTTGGGAAGTCAAGAAAGAAGGATTGCTTGAAGCCAGGAGTTTGAGACCAGCCTGGGTGGCAAAAATAATAAAATTACAAACTACAAAACAACAACAACAAAGAAACAAAATGGAGCTCAAAATCATACTCTTCTGCTTTAGGAGGCCAAGGTGGGAGGATCACTTGTGCCCAGGAGTTCAAGGCTGCAGTGAGCTGTGATCACACCACTGCACTCTAGTCTGAGTGACGGAGTGAGACCTGGTCTCTAAAAATAATAATAATAAATAAATCATTCTTCTTATTCTCCCTCATATTTCCTATCTTTTTTTTTCTGAGATGATGTCTTGCTCTGTCACCTGGGCTGGAGTGCAGTGGTGCGATCTCAGCTCACGGCAACCTCTGCCTCCCAGGTTCAAGCAATTCTCATGCCTCAGTCTCCTGAGTAGCTAGGACTACAGGTGCACGCCATCACGCCTGGCTCATTTTTGTATTTTTTTTTAATTTATTTTATTTTATTTTATTATTTTTTCTTTTTTGAGACGGAGTTTCACTCATGTTACCCAGGTTGGAGTGCAATGGCACGATCTCGGCTCACCGCAACCTCCGCCTCCTGGGTTCAGGCAATTCTCCTGCCTCAGCCTCCTGAGTAGCTGGGATTACAGGCACGCACCACCATGCCCAGCTAATGTTTTGTATTTTTAGTAGAGACGGGGTTTCACCATGTTGACCAGGATGGTCTCGATCTCTTGACCTCGTGATCCACCCGCCTCGGCCTCCCAAAGTGCTGGGATTACAGGCTTGAGCCACCGCGCCCGACCCATTTTTGTATTTTTAATAGAGACGAGGTTCTGCAATGTTGGTCAGGCTTTTCTCAAAACTCCTGACCTCAGGCGATCTGCCTACCTTGGCCTCCCAAAGTGCTAGGGGTTACAGGCATAGCCACCATGCCCAGCCATATATCCTATCTTGAGGAATGACTCAATTCATCTAGCTGCCTGAGAGAGAAAACTGTATTATTATTACTGTGTTCTGTTAGAGACAGGGACTCACTGTGCCACCCAAGCTGCAGTATACTGGCGTGACCTTTGCTCACTGCAGCCTTGACCTCCTGGGCTCAAGTGATGTTCCCACCCCAGCTTCCCAAGTAGCTAGGGCTGTGGGTACACTTCAGCATGCCTGGATAATGAGAAAACTGCATGTCATGTGAAACTCTATCAGCTCTGAAATCAACTGGACTCCAGATTGTCTCCCATCTATCTCTGCTATTCTTTCATCATCTTTTCCACTACTGCTCTCCCAGTTTGGGTTCTTAGCATTTCTCACCTGGCCTTGGTACTGGCCTCCTGACTACTTTCCCTCTGCCTCTAGTCTGTTTTTTTCCAATCTACCCTCCTATACCACTGCTAGAGCAAGCTTTCCTTTTTTCTTTTTTTTTTTTTTTTCCGAGACGGAGTTTCGCTCTTGTTACCCAGGCTGGAGTGCAATGGCGCGATCTCGGCTCACTGCAACCTCCGCCTCCTGGGTTCAGGCAATTCTCCTGCCTCAGCCTCCTGAGTAGCTGGGATTACAGGCACGCACCACCATGCCCAGCTAATTTTTTTTTTGTATTTTTACTAGAGACGGGGTTTCACCATGTTGACCAGGATGGTCTCGATCTCTTGACCTCGTGATCCACCCGCCTCGGCCTCCCAAAGTGCTGGGATTACAGGCTTGAGCCACTGCGCCCGGCCTTTTTTTTTCTTTTGAGATGGGGTCTTGCTCTATCTTGTAGGCTGGAGTGCAGTGGCATGATCTTGGCTCACTGCGACCTCTACTTTCCCGGCTCAGGAGATCCTCCCAGCTTAGCTCCAGAGTAGCTAAGCTAAGTAGTAGGGATTACAGATATGTGCCATAAAGCCCGCCAATTAAAAAAAATTTTTTTTTGTAGAAATAGGGTTTCACTTTGTTGCCCAGGCTGGTCTCGACTCTTGGGCTTGTTCTGCCCTCCTCGGCCTCCCAACGTGTTGGGATGCATGAGCCACTGCACCCAGGCTCTTTACCTTTTTATTCAAATAATAACATATCATACTCGCCCTTCTGCATGATCTTTTCATAGCAATAGAAAGAGGTGCTTAATTAAAAAAAAAAAAAAAGTTGCACAGCCAGGCACAGTGGCTCAGTCCTGTAATTCCAACACTTTGGGAGGCTGAGGCAGGAGGATTGTTTGAGGCCAGGAGTTCAAGACCAGCCCGGGCAACATAGCAAGACCCTGTATCTACAAAAATATATAAAAATTAGCCACGTGTGATGGCGTGCACCTATAGTCTCAGATACTTAGGAGGCTGAGGCAGGAGGATTGCTTGAGCCTAGGAGATTGAGGCTGCAGTGAGCCAAGATTGTGTCATTACATTCCAGCCTGGGCAACAGAGAAAGACTGTCTCAAAAACAAAATGTGGTCTAGTATTTAGTATTCCATTAGATGGATCACCATAACCAACACAATACCTTACTACTGGATCTTTAGGTTGTTTCCAGTCTTTTCAGAGTCATTAAATTTGATCATGTTATTCCTTTGATTAAAACCTTACTGGGCTGGGCATGGTGGCTAAGGCCTGTAAACCCAGCACCTTGGGAGGCCAAGACAGGTGGATCACTTGAGGCCAGGAGTTCAAGAGCAGCCTGGCCAACATGGTGAAACCCCACCTCTATTAAAAATACAAAAATTAACCGGGTGTGGTGGTACATGTCTGTAATCCCAGCCACTCAGGAGGCTGAGGCACGAGAATCACTTGAACCCAGGAAGCAGAGGTTGCAGTGAGCCGAGATTGCACCACTCCACTCCAGCCTGGGCGATGGGGTAAGACTCTATGAAAAACAAAAACTTATCATGACTCCCTGTTGTCTATAGATAAAACCTAAACTCCTTAGCATGGCAGCAAGGGCTTCCATGGTTTGACCTTCGCCTACTTAGCCCAGCAGCACGAGCTTTTGTCATTCTCTCTTCACCTCCCAGCCCTTCATATTAAAATCGTCATGCTTCATACTTTGAATTCCCCAACATGCCATACTATTGCTTCGTTGCTTCTGCTTCTTCTACTTAGAATGCCCTGTCTCCAACTACCTGATAACCATCAGCCTCAGCTTTCTTTTTTTTTTTTTTGAGATGGAATCTCGCTCTATCACCCAGGCTGGAGTGCAGTGATGTGATCTCGGCTCACTGCAACCTCCACCTCCTGGGTTCAAGCAATTCTCCTGTCCCAGCCTCCTGAGTAGCTGGGATTATAGGTGCGTGCCACGATGCCTGGCTTATTTTTGTATTTTTAGTAGAGATGGGGTTTCACCATGTTGGTCAGGCTGGTCTCAAACTCCTGACCTCGTGATCCACCCTCCTTGGCCTCCCAAAGTGCTGGGGTTACAGGAGTGAGCCACCACGCCTGGCCAGCGTCCAGCTTGCAACACTCAGCTCAGAATCACCTCCTTCACAAAGCCTCTCCTAACATCTCTCAGGCAGAAGTGACCTTTTCCTTCTCCCTGCCTATGCCGTACCCTATACATATATAGATCATAACTTTTAACTGCAATTATTTGTATATATGTTTATTTCCTACTAAGCAGAGAATTCCCTGTAGGGCCTCTCTTCATCTTTATAACCCCAGTCCTATACATGACAGTATATAACAGGCATTCAATTAAATTTTCCTTAATAAACCAAGGGCTCCCCTCCCCGTCTATGACTACTCTCACTTTGGACCTATAAGCCCTGCTCTTTCATTTGAGGAAACCAATTTTGCTGGCGGTAGCTCTTGGTCTCTACCTTATTAGTTCTAACTGCAGTCCCATTAAGTCCATCCTGATCCTTTAGCGCTAGCCTCTACTTCTACCAGCTCTGGGTCCTCTGGTTTGCTTCCCACCTTCCCATTCAAATTCGTGTCCACTGTCCAGCTGCTCCGAGTCTGAAGGTGTCTCTAATTCGTCCACTTCCAGGTCAGAGCTCCCATCAGGAGAGGAAGGTGCAGACTGGGTGGGCGAAGCTCCATCATTTCCAGGCCCCTTAGTCAGACTCAGTCGCAACTCTGGGGCAGAAAGACGCTTGCGCATGGGGCGCTGGCCACACAGGGCTAAAGTGAGGGGGGTACCTGCGGTTGGAGAAAGGAGGAAAAAGAGAACCAAGATGGATGTGTGTGCTGGGGGGCCGAGAGGGCTAGAATTCCTTGTATGTGACAGTGATAATAGGGGGTGAACTCTGAAGACGGACACAGAGGACATTTGGGAAAGGGGGAAATGGAACTGTAAGGGGATAGAGGTGGCACAGGCCTTCACTGGACTAGAATCAAGAACTTGAGGCCAGGCGCGGTGGCTCACGCCTGTAATCCCAGCACTTTGGGAGGCCGAGGCGGGCGGATCATGAGGTCAAGAGATCGAGACCACCCTGACCAACATGGTCTCTACTAAAAAATACAAAACCCGTCTGTACTAAAAAATACAAAAAAATTAGCCGGGCATGGCAGTGCGTCCCTGTAGTCCCAGCTACTCGGGAGGCTGAGGCAGGAGAATTGCTTGAAACCGGAAAACGGAAGTTGCAGTGAGCCGGGATTGCGCCATTGCACTGCAGCCTGGCCATAGAGCCAGACTGTCAAAAAAAAAACGGATTTTGTAAAAAAAAAAAAAGAAAGAAAGAAAAAAGAACTTGAGGCCTGGTTTCTACTTGACCTACCTGCCTGTGAGTCTCCTTTAGGCTCTTCAGGATCTTCAGAAGGTCCAACTTCCTCAGGAAGCAATCTAGACGGAAAGAGATTAAAAGGGGGCAGAGATATACACTACAGGCATCAAAGCTGGGACTCAGTTTATAGGTTCTCTCTCCTGGCCATGATTTTATCACATTTGCTTTCTTTTTTTTTTTTTTTTTGAGACAAGAGTTTCGCTCGTTACCCAGGCTGGAGTGCAATGGCGCGATCTCGG